CTCCCCTGCCTGGGCACCTTGTTCCTGCTCACTCAGGGAGGGCCTCCGCCGTCTCCCCGCAAGCCTAGGTCGCAGGCGCAGGGCCCTGGGCAGCTGCAATCCGAGCGCCGCTTTCGCGCAAGCTTACCGGGAGGCTGGGGCTGTGTGCTGGTGCTGGGCTCCTCCTGGTGGGCGGGGCTCTCTTTACTGGCGCCTGGAGCTCACCTCCGCGGCGGATCCTGCAGGGTTCGCCTCAGCTCCCGTTCACGGGGTGTGGTGGCTGAAATAGTTCCTTTCCACTCACAGTCCCACTTGCTGCATCCGTTTTTTCTTGTTGGGCGTTTTGGTTTGTTGTTTCCCTCGTCTCTGCCGGTCGGAGAGTGCCGCCTCTGTGGGCGGGGGAGGGGAGCAGGGTTCTGCGCTTCCCTCCCTTCTCGTCCTCTTTTATGGCAACTTTCTTCTTCGGGCAGTTTGCTGGAGTCGTCCGTTTATCTTCCCTGTCTCAGTTCTCACTGGGACCTGCCGCTTTTCCTCCCTATTAACTTTTTTTAATGGGAGATCTTACTCGCAGCGTCTCCTCGCCGCCTTGTTGCTCCGCCCCTCCCCTCTCCCCTTATTTTGACCCTAATTCCTCCTCCCCCCCATTGTGTGTCTCTGGTTTATAGTTGCTTGTTGATTTTGATTTTTACTTTATTATAATTAGTCTTTTCCCTGGTCCCTTATTTAGGTCTTCTGAATTCCTGCCATGAGTGAGACCATCCTGTGATTATCTTTCTGTAAGTTCATTTTTTGTAAGTTCATTTTCTTGGCAATGGAAAAATTTTTCTACTCCTCAGTTGGATAGTAAGCAGCAGTCAGTACTATCAATACACAGCAGAGAAAGTATTCTTTTTCTATCTTCTAGTTCCTTGAAAATTAGTGTACCTTTAGAAATTACTCTAGAGATGTTTATATAAAATTGTTAGTTTGGGGGAAAATACGCCAGATGCACATATTGACTGTACATTAGGGAGTAGTAGGTTTGGATTCTGCAGTTTTACTTCACTGTTGAAATCCATTGTCCCAATTCAAAGAAAATGCTGCCTAGAGCCCCAAATCTGTAACAACGTTTGATTGTGTGGAAGCTGAAAAAGACAATTCAGCACAAATTTCTGAGGAGTAGAACACTTTTACAAGATTCATTGGAAGGTCCAGCCTTGAATAAATAATGCAAATCCTCTTACATGCCAAACTCTGCCATTACACAACCTCTTCTAATATGGCATTTGGTCTATCATTGGACCATCTTGATTCTTTGAAAGAGAATTTAGTCTTGGAAATCTTAATTTGCACAGTATAAATCTATAATAACATTATAAATACCAAGAGAAAATTTATTAGGATGTTGTTTCATAATATTAATAGATATATTAAAAAAAATAAAGATGAAATGCCATCACTGTTATCATGGGTTGAATTATATCCCCACAAAGTCAACATGTTGCAGTCTTAAGCACAGTATCTTGGGAACATATTTGGAGATAGGGTCTCTAAAAAGGTAATTAAGGTAAACTGAAGACATTAAAATGGGCCCTAATCCATATGACTGGTGTCTAATAAGAACAAATTTGGACACAAACATGTACAAAAGAGACTATCCATGGTGAGAAAATTATCTACAATTCAAATAGAAAGACCTCAGAAGAAACCACTTGTGACACCTTGAGCTCAGATTTCTAGCCTCCAGCATTGGGGAAAAATAAATTTCTATGTTTTAACCCATTTAGTCAGTGGTGTTTTGTAATGGTAGTCCTAGCAAGCTAAAACACTGCTCATAACAGTAAGAAAACTTACTGAATTTTGTATTTGTGTGCTTATCTATACTTTAGTTCCTAAAGTTTATTTAATAATTGTTATTATATAGCTGGAAGATTTTGTCAAAATTAGAATGAATCCATAACCATATTAAATTGTTTTTGAATTTCTTAAGCTTATTTGTACTTTTTATTTTAATTTTAAAAAATTTATTTATTTATATTATTCATTTTTAAACAATATTTGCTTACCCCCCAACCCCCCTCAGATGTAGTCCCCATAGAATTTCCCCACCAATACACACATGCACCATCACCTCAGTCCCCTGTGCTCCTCCCTCCCTCCCACTGATCCCTCTCCCTCCTCCTCCCCTGCAGGATGTCTCTGATTTATAATTGTCTGTTTTTGTTTTGTTGTGTTTTGTATTGTTATTATTTTTTGACACCGATGTCTTATTTGGTTTCTCTATATTCCTGCTATAAGTGAAACCATCCGATATTTTTCTTTTTTCTTCTTATTTCACTGAGCATAATTCCTTCTAGCTCCATTATTTGTACTTTTTAAACTCTAACATGTCATCCAAGGAAGGTGATGCTGCCAGAAATTATGACATACTATTTCTGATTAATAAGATTAAAAAAAAGTTGTAGATTAAATGGAGAGCAAATAGATCAACAGATTATATTTTTCCATTGTTTTCTCTTCAATATGATATGCATATTAGCTTATTTTAAATCCAACTTTTAACGTAATTGAACAGAGGGCTGGGCTACTAAGATAAAGTGGGCAGAGCCCCAAGAGAGAATTTTTATGAAGCAAGAACTTTTGTAAAAGGATGACTGATATTAAGAAATCTGATCACAAAAATCTGCAAAGAGCTGATGAGACTCAGCAACAACAAAGAAAATAATCCAGTCAAAAAATGGGCAGAAGAGCTAAAAAGAAACTTCTCTGAAGAGGAAATGCAAATGGCCAACAGACATATGAAAAAATGTTCAACATCACTTGTAATCAGGGAAATGCAAATCAAAACTACCATGAGATACCATCTCACACCAGTGAGAATGGCACATATTAAAAAAACTAGCAACAACAAATGTTGGCGAGGGTGTGGAGAAAAAGGAACTCTTCTGCACTGTTGGTGGGAGTGCAAACTGGTCCAACCACTATGGAGAGCTGTGTGATTTCTGGACCTACTAAACATAGAGCTTCCATATGATCCAGCAATTCCACTCCTAGGTATTTACCCAAAGGACACAGAAACATCAATTCCAAAGAGCACCTGCACCCCTATGTTTATAGCAGCACTGTTTACAATAGCTAAGCTTTGGAAACAGCCCAAATGCCCAAAAATAGATGACTGGATCAAGAAGATGTGGTACATATATACCATGGAATATTACTCAGCATTCAAAAAAGATAAACACATGCAATTTGCAGCAACATGGATGGCGCTGGAAGGGATCATGCTCAGCGAAATAAGCCAAAAAGAAAAAGAAAAATACCGGATGGTCTCACTCATAGCAGGAATCTAGAAAACTTAAATAAGGGACCAGGAAAATGAATATAAGAAAGTGAAAATCAAAATCAACAAAAAACTATGAACCAGAGACACTTTTTGGGGGGTGGGGAGCGGGAGGGGAAGGATTGGGGTCAGAATGGGGCGTTTGCAATTGTATGGGGGAATATAAAAATAAAATTTATTATTTAATAAAAAAAAAGAAATGATACATTAAGGTATTATGTCATGACCATTCATAAATTACTTTTGGTGCTATGAAACTTTTGTTATTGGTATAAGTGTCTTTGAAATAATGCTATATCATTAAGAATATATGAAGGGTAGTGGAAAAGTACAATACTCAATTAAAATGAATGATTTCTATGGTAGCCCCACAGCCTGTCGTTCTCCTGGCAGATTTTCATAAGATTTAATTGAGTAAAAATACGTGTTATGAGCAGAGCTGTGTTCCTATAAAATTCATATGTTGAGGTCTTTACAGAGGAAATTAAGGTTAAATTTGCTCAAATGGATGGGGCCCTAATCCATTAAGACTGGAATCCCCAGAAGAGGCATGAATAATGTGCATGCACAGAAGAAAGTCAGGTGAGGACACAGTGAGAAGGCAGCTGCGTGCAAGTCAAGGAGAAAAGATTCAGGAGAAACTAGACCTGCCAGCACCTTGATTTTGGACTTCAGATTTTAGAACTATGAGGAAACAAACTTCTGTTGTTTAAGCTACTCTGTCTGTGGCACTTTGCCTGAGAGTCCTGGCAAACTAATAATTTAGGTATTAGATTTCTATTGTGAATATATTAGTAAGAACAAATTTATTGTATTTTGGTTCACATGAAACAGAAAGTCAATGGTTTGTGTTTACTTAGGAGAATATGGGATAAGGCCAGTTTTCATATGTATAACCTAAGTTAATGCAAAGCCACTCATTACATTCATGTTATTTTTTTCTCTCAGAATCATCAAATGTATTTGAGGAAAGGCAAAATTGGCAGAAAATTTGGAGACCAAATTTTCTAAGGGCTATCTTTTCCTACCAGAAAAATTTGATATCCATTAAATATGATAAGAAAAATAAACTGATGAAATAGTGACATGATATATATATATATATATATCAATTGCATATAGTAAGCAATAAGAAAACATTGTATATTACTTTTTAAAGTAATTTTTAACACCTTTCTAATTCAGCTGATTTCTGAGTATGGACGCCACATTATTTTGGAGGAAAATGATAATTTTTCATTAAATATTTATATACCTATTGCATGATGGTTTAATATAGGTAATTATTTAAAGAACCATATTAATATTCATACCTTTAAAAAAGAGAAAGAAAATGTTATATTTCTAATACTACTGTCATCTTGGTTTAGTATTAATTTTTTCCAGGGTTTTGTGTGTGTACATTAAATACTTGCCCCAAGGCAAATTCTTCCTAAATAATAGAAAACAAATACATCTAGAAGGTCAATAGATAAAGAAAAAAGGTAACAAAAGTATTCTACTTTGTACCACAAGTGGTTTCCTTTTATTTCAGCAGAAATTAGAGAGGGTATAAGAATTGTGATAAACATTAGCAGTAGAGAATCTCACCAATGATATTATTTGAAGATTAAAAAATAAGATGATATACTTTAATGTCATTTGAGAAGCAAACACAGTCATGCTGTTTCATCTCTTCATTCCATTCAGAATAAAAATAGATTCAAACTAATTATGAAAAACACTATATGATGTAATATAAGGAATATCCCATTGTGACAGACAGGAGATTTTTTGAACATTCCATTTGCAAGTAGAGGTTAATCAGATTCCTAGACTTATTCCAGACTTATTTCAGGAGATCAGTATTTCTTCTGCCTGAGCGTGGTTTGCAAGTGGCCAGAGATGTTTTACTCAGTGTCACTGTAGCACCTATTTCTTTTAATTTGCTCTTCCACAGTGAGTTTTTGAGGCTGGACCTCCACAGTGAGATGCAAAGGCTTAGCTGCACATCCACTGCTCAGGGCCTTAACATTTGTGTTTCCATTCATGTGGGCTAACTCCGTGGCTTCATCATGCCAATGTTTGATGTTCTTCCCAAACTCTCTTAAATGCAAACATGGCATATTTTTAATTTGATCTACAGATTCTATTAAATCACGTTCAAAAATGTGCTCATTCTTCTTGGAAAAAGCAGCAATTTTCACAGTGTTAGAAAAGAAGAAGTGGAGATTTTTGTTATTTGAGTGATTTCCTTTGATGTGTAAGATATTCTTATCAGAAGAGGTCTTTGAACTTTTCCCCTTTACTATGAATGCACTGCTGAGGTCTGATTTTGGAGCAGACTGCACAGGACTGCCAGCAGTACCTCTGTCAGTCTGTTTATCGAGAGCCATAGCTAATACATTCCTAGAATAAGCCTTTTCAGTTTCAAATATACCAAGTAACTCTGAGATTCTAGATGCATTTTCTACATTTTCAATTTGATATTCACTTGCAGTGCAGTTTGTTTCACTTGACAGTGGTAATAGATTAGGAAATTCTAAAATAGATGTCTTCTGCTTGCAATTATTCAGATATGAGACTGCAACATAATTGTTATTATTATTCTTATTCAAATTCTCTTTATGATTTTCAGACACTACCTCATCTTCAGTGTTATTAACCTGTAAAACTTCCGTACCATCAGGTTCATTAGTTTTTTCATTTTTCTCCTTCTCAGCACTCTGCACAACCACATTATTGTTGTCATTAAGATCTATTTCACTTTTCCTCTTATTCTTTGTATCTTCAGCCTCATTCAGCTTATCTTGCACGTTCTTATTTCCTTCCTTCTCATCTTTTTGCGCATCATACATTTCCATTTCTTTGATTCTGGTAACATCCCCTTTCTGACACATATGCATGGACTGCAGATATGGCTGCAGGAAAGAAAGGTTATATTGCTCTTTTCTTTTATTTTCCAGAGTTTTAATGTGTTCTCTCAGTGAATCACTTTTAAACACAGCAGATGCAGGGGTTGTAATTTCAGGTGGCCATTTAGGTTTACACATTTTGAGCTCTTCCTCAAGAGGGAAGGCTTTCTTCGGCAGCTCCCTTAAGGGGGGCCAGATGACTTTTAATTTTCCCCTCTCCCTAAATTTTCTCAAATCATCCTTTTGCCCTTCACTGTTACCAGCATCTAAATGTTTATTAAGAGCATCATGTAAGGGGGTATTTTCTGCACTGTTTTTACACATATTTGGTTCTTCATTAGGAATAAAGTCCACTGAGCTGCTTTGATTTTTACAATTCCATTGATCTTTGTGTTGTTTGTGTCCAAAACCTTCATCATAATTTCCTTTAGATTTGAAAAGTTGTTTAAAGTGAGGCTTACAATATATTTGTCCATGAAGTGATGCATAACTTCCCAAACTGCCAAAGAGAAAAAACAATTTTAACATTCTATATATGCACTGCATATTCATATGGAATTAAGGAATTAATTGTTTCACAAATGAGTCAGAGATTCAGTACAATTAACTGGGAACAGAAATGTGCTTATTAATTGAACACTCCTGTTAGGTAACAATTGCCACAAATACATATATAAGTCTTCTAGTATTTAGAATTTCATGGTGTACATAGATATTGGCATAATCGGTATTAGAGTATAATGTAAATGTAGTTATAGCTGGTAGAAAATTATAGGGCTAAATCTGTGCTAACTCAATAATTTGTGAGAGGTCATAATTCTTAAATCCTGAAGAGCACACACACAAAAACTAACTATTTGAACTTCCTTGTGAACTGGATTTTTAAATGAACTTGAAAGTTTGCCTAGTCTATTGTTTATTTGGCCTCTTTAAGGAGATCAACAAATAGAGTGTCTATTGAAATTAAAATCATATATAATCAGTCAGCAACTTAATTTTTTAATATCTCAGAATCTCTGCATAAAAACAAACAAATTAACTGGGTAGCAAAACTTAATAACTTATGGATAATATTTACAATAAAACTAAGTGATAAGGTCTCTCCCCACCAAAGATCAAATAAATACAAGGAGCTAAGGATAAACCATCAACAGCTATGAGACCATAATGACAGCTGCCTGTTCAGATGATAGCAGAGGGAGAAGGCAAGTGTCAGATAGACCTGAGAATATGAAACCACAAAATAGCCTGCAAATGTTTCCTGGGAAATATCATATGTCAACAGATAACAGCAGCTAAATCTGGAAGGGAATTTGCCCTCTAAAATGGCCACTGAATGCAAAGGCTCTGTGCTAAGAAAGACTTTCACACTGTTTTAGGGACTGGAAAACCCAAATTTTCAAAACTGGTCCACTGAGGTGCCCTTTTAGAACAAGATCCCATACTGAAAATATGGTAGTAGAATCAAAATTGGATAGGTTAATAATGACAGAAAGGAAAGAACACAGGGAACTAACATGGGGCAAAGAACCAAGGCGGGAAAACCCAAAAATCAAACCATCATAGTTTATTTTAACAGTGTATAAAAAATGGAAGACGTAACAGTAAAGTTAGGAAAACCATCCTACATTTTGCATTAAGTTTTGAGAAAACTAATTCAATATAAAAAAGTGCAACAAAACGTACCAAGGTCAAATATTATACAAAGTTATTGTAAGGAAATAGAAGAGTAAGGAAAATTATACTATCCCTGCAGATAATGAAAACATGCTAGAAAAACATCAAAATGTTCACCTACTATTCCAAAATGATCTCAAAGACATTAAGAACATAATAAAAGACCTGAAAGAATAGCATGAATTGTAATTAGAAAAAAGTCATAAAAGTTCCAGAAATCTGAAAAAAGTAGAAAAGAAAAATCATGCCAGCAATAAAAACTAAACTGAAATAAATTTAAGAGCAAATGAACACAGTAGAAAATGTCTTAAAAAGAGATTGGGCAATGAAATTTACAAACAAAAATGAAAAAAAGAGAGAGAATTTGAAAGAATTACCAATATTAAAGATAAACATAAAATACCCATGCATGAATAGTAGGAGTTCCTGAAAAAGAAAATAAAGCAATGAAATAGTTTAAATACTAAAAAGTCACAATTTAATACAATTTTCCTGATGTGAAGAGCATGATGTGAAGATGTGAAGAGCATGCTGTTATTATTGACCCAGAGTGGCCAATACCAAAGCTTTTCTAGTAAAATTACTAATGTTAAATGTATATAAATTAAATGTTTTTTATATATCTGAAAAGCAAAGGAAAAAAAGAACTATGCCATAGAGGAACAGAAAATTGAATTGTTATCAGATATTTTCAAGACTTTATACCAAAAAAAATGGAATAATACATTTAAGATGTCAATGAAACAAAGATTAAGTATTTTATTTTCAGAAAAACTAACATTCCATTACAGAGACCACAAGTTGTTATCAGCATGCAAGATCTCAAGAAAATGATTCCATTAACCTTTCTGAGGAATCTGCTAGAATACAAGCTTGACAACCAGAATGACTTGAGAAACATCAACATGAAGACTGATGGTGAGTTTTAACTATATTGTTACTTGTAAATTAAATTTAAATGAGTGTAAAAGGGAGATAATATGATTTGTAATGACTAGGTTCTGACAATGAACAATGAAGATATAGTACAACAATTAACAGAGAAGAAACTAAGCAAAAGGAATTCAGTTTTGAACTTGATTTGGAAATACCACTATAAATTTATGATTTTTTTCTTTAAATATAAATATCTACTAGCTCTTCACACTGACAAAGCTTAGAAATAATGAAGTGACAAACCCAGTAGAAAGAGTATTGAGATTGTAATCTTGAAATACATTTCTCACTCAAAGAAACCTTGGTTTTCAAAAATGACTGATTCTAAGCCTGGAGTGGGAAATGTACAAGATGAACATGGAATATCTGGTCTATCAGATGAAGAGAAAACTATCAAAGATTACTAAGGTTTTGTATAAAGGAGTCTGGAGACAACTTGAAGAGACTCCCACTGGCCAGAGAGAGAATAATTCGAGTTTCAATAATGATAATAATGCATGTTATCATTATAAATATATTAAACTTTAAAAATATTATTTTAGGGGATGATAAGGAACTACATTGCATTCTTAAAAAATGACATTAGCAAAGTTCATAAATAAAGGGAAATAATTATGCATTTATTCTGCTTTTTGTCCAACCAACTAACTATACCACTATGTAGCAAGATGGTAGTGAGGGAAGGGGGCTCCTATAAAAGTATTCTAACAATGAAAGAGAGAGAACAGTATTAGACAATCAGCATTATGCAAATATGCATGAATGAGTATAGGCTTTAAACTTTGATATCTACTATAAATGCAAAACGCAGATAACAACAAGCAGACATTATGTATTTATTATAGCTTTGAAACCCTCCCCATGTCCTTGCAAAAGGAATCTCAGTTTAAATTGGTCTAGATCCACCACTGTTTTAAAGAACGCAGAGGAGAGAGGAGTATGTAGAAGTGCAACATGAGTGTGCCGTCAGCAAATCCAGACCATGGAAAGCTCGACAGGTAAATGCTCTGGTTCTACACAAATAAATTGTAAGAAATGGCAGGGATAGAAAACATATGCATTCAACAAGCCTTTAAAGACATGTTGAAGTTCTGAAAACTGTGCAGGTCTTAGTGTCGAGGAAGGCACATTTGGATAAAATAACCTATAAAATGCAGGTTATGTGTGAGGGGGACATATGGATGTGGCTTCTTGAGTGACTGACAATGTTGTATATCTTGACTTGGGTAGTGGTTATAAAGAATTCACTTTGCAATACTTTAATGAATCATGTTTGCTTTGTTTGGTTTTCTGGGTTTTTTGGTACAGTAATTTAAAAAGTATCAGCCATTGAATACCTATTTCTGAGTCCTTATAGGTCAGTCTTTACTGGTTTTGGCAAGATAAGCATTAATACATTTCCTACAGTTGAGGCCAATCACATTAGATTGTGTTGCGAATAAGGCAAATAGGGTGGGGAGGGTGCTTTGGAAGCACAGAGGAAGGAGATGCCAACTCCACATATGGGGTTTGAAGCAGGTTTCTTCAGAGACATAAAGTATCACTTGAGCTGAAGAATGAATTGTATAGATTTGGGAAGTCCATGGAAAAACCCCTATATGGAATGAAAATAACCTTTGGGACCAGCAAGATATGAAAGAAAAATAATGATTTTGAGGAACTGGAAGAAATTCATGAAAAGTAATATGCAATGAGAGGAAGAAGAGGTAGAAGGTAGAGAGAGTAGTAGAGACAAGAGCCTTAACTGCCTTTTAAATTTATGTTAAGGGCCTCCCCGGTGGCGCAGCGGTTGAGCGCTGGGTTGCGAGGCTGCCCGCTGCCTCTGCGGCGCCGGTTCGATTCCCCGCTGCTCCCCGGCCACCGGAGGAGGGTCCCACATGGCGCGCAGACCTCTCCTGCCGCCCGCTGCTCCCCTCAGCAGTGTACTTCGGTCCTTCTGTCTGCTCTGCTCCCCGCTCTGGCTCTGGTGAATTCTCTCACCCTCCCACGCTTCTGACTGTACCCAGTGCATGTACAAACAAAACAAACGAACAAACAAATAAATAAATAAAAACATGCCTCTATAAAAAAAAAAAGAAAAAAAAATAAATTTATGTTAAGGTGGTATTTTTTTTTTTATTTTTGTGGGACCCTTGCCAGTGGCCTGGGAACGAACCGCGCTGCAGGGGCAGCCTCGCAGCCCAGCACTCAACCGCTGCGCCACCAGGGGAGGCCCAAGGTGGTAATTTTTTATGAAGAAAACTACATGTATGTTTTAAATAGGGACGTGGCCTCACATTTGCATTTTAGAAAGATCATTCTTACTATACTATGGAGTGTGGCACTGAGGCATGTTGGTGATAGAGGTGATGATGGTGGTGATAGATACTGGAGGCAGGGAGACCAACTAGCTAGAAAGACTGTGGCATTAGTACAGGTGAGAGATAATACTACTTGTGTGAAGGATAACTGGGCTGTGGAGGTGACGAGAGTATATAGATAAAGAGGTATTTTTGAGACAAAAATTAAAGGACATGGTGGTAGATTGGGTATAAGAAATGAAGGCGTAGACCCAGTCTAATGTAATGTCATGATTCAGTCATTGAATTAATGTTCATGTCATTTTCTTAGACAGTAGCATACAGACCATGCAGTAAATTAATAGATTTCAATAGAAGACAATGGCATATAGAATTTGTTGTACTTATGAGAAATGAAATTTAGACCATAAAACTTTTACCTCAGTTTACTGTTGCAGTGGTGACATCGGAAACAAGATTTATGAAAACTCTGCTTGTCTGCTACTAGGCACTCCATTGGATAAACTGTTCTTTGACAAAGTATACATATTTCCTTGTCTTGGAGTAGCAGTTTCTAAAAACAGAAATTTACAAAGCTTATATAGTATTACCTTTAATCACATTTTAAGAACAAAAACAAAACAACAATAGCACATTAAGTAGCCATGCAGTTAAATTAGAATATCTTTTTTAAAAGATTTATTTATCTATGCATATAAGAACTGGGGTACAGGCTAGAGGTGTGGAGGGTGAGAGGATTCACCAGAGACAGAGTGGGGAACAGAACAGGCGGATCCACTGAAATAAACTGCTAAAGGGAGCAGGAAAGGTCTGCTGCACCATGTGGGTAGCTCCCTGGCCGGGGATTGAACATGTGCTGCAGTGGCTGTGGGTAGCTTTATAGGTTGTGTCTTAACCCTTTGTACCACCAGGGAGGCCCTAAATTAGAATATGCTAAGACTATTGTCTTAATACTGCTTTTTTGGACATGGGCCATCCTACCACCAGATTTAAGGCTCTGGTACCTTATCCTATGGTCTCCAGGATGCAACTTGTACAATGCATAAATAAATTGTACAAGTTGACTTAAGTTATTTAAGGAAGCATACATGAAAAAATATTTTCCTTAACTTTAATGTTTCAAAGACTATATATAGTAAATTCAGCCATGGGGAGCCCTGAGAGAATGTATCATTCTAAATACCTGAATTTTACATTTTATATATATATATATATATATTATAATTAATATATTAGAATAAGTCTTGATGACTTAGTGACTACTCTATGGCACCAGTCCTTAACTTGAATACAATGAGACTTCTTGATGTATTGAAATGTTCAGGGTTATTTGTCCTCAATCTAAATAATTTTGGATGTAGGGCCTCCTGGATTCTCAAGTCTGCCTTTTATAGTTTTTCTATCTCCTCCCTTGGTCTAAAGTACAGACACTTGCCACTCTTCTCATGTGAATAAGAATATAACTAGAATATTGTATTCTAGTTATAATACCAATGAGTGCTTGCATAGTGGTTCAAAACTGATACCAAACTTTGTATTGCTTTGATCCTCACAACAATCCTGTGAGAATAACTAAGCTTTCACATAGTTACATAGAAGAGCACTTAGGCTCAGGATTCTTTATACAAATAAAGATAATATACTCTAGTGCTTTGATGCCCAATTTGTGCTACTGAGAGATTTCCTTTGATTATTTGGTGCTAGTAGAGGACATATTTCTATATTTAATGCCAAGTTCTTTGTATTTTCTGTTTTTAGCTATCTTAACAGAAACTGAGTGTTTGAAATTAATTAGACATATTTGCTTAATTATGCCAGAAGCAAGCATAGTAAGACATCACATTAACCTGATAAACTAGACACATATGTTGCAAATGTGATAGAGGCATAACTATTAGTTTCGGCAGTTTTTATTTTTAAGCAGGCTATTTCTTTCAATCTGTCTAAAAGAATGAACTATACTAATGATGCCCATTAATTATGTCAAATCCTTTATTGTAAAGCCTCATTAATTGTAAAAAAGTAGGGAAATATAAAGAAATGAACTTCTCTCTGATGTTAAATATGTTCGATGTTCCATATGTTTTAAACCTCTTTCCTTCCAATATAATCAAAATTTAAAATTTATTATCCGTGTCATCTGTGAACAAGAGCTATCATTTGGGGTTTATTTTTAAGAAAGGTAAAAAAGTCATCTATAGAGAAAAAGTATTGGAGATAACTAAATCTGCAACTCAATAACAATAATTAAATATATAAAAGGCCTAATTTTCTACCTATATTTGTCAGAACTACCAATCAATAAAAATTCTTAAAGCACATATGAAGAGTGTAAATAGCTTCTTGGATTATTACCAGTGTGAATTGAATTCAAAAGCAAATAGCATTTAAATCTGGCAGTTAAAAATACATTAATACAAGGTCAAGGCATGTTATCTAATGTCTAAAGCAAGTGGATATAGTAAAAATGTACTATGGTAGTATAATTATTAATAAACATATAGTTAAATACAGTCATTAGTATCATCCAATAACAATTATTATATGTACTGCTTTATCCAAAACCCTATTTACCTCAACAAACACAGGTCCCCATGATTTATACACGAGTATTTGTTATTCTGACACCATACCGGTGAATCATATCAGGTGTTTTTGTAAAGAAAAGGTAGTAAAAGCAAACATTGCAAAGTGGAGACCAGCATCCAGGGAAATCTGTTAGTTTCGGGTTATATTGTTTGGTTATTTCCATACATTCTTAACTGCAAATCATTTTAGCTATGGAACATGTAGAAAGCATGCCTTTAAATGGGTTAATCTTTCCTCACACTTCAAAAGCTCATTTACCACTTATAAAGGAAGATTCCTCTTGGAAGGTGGTTCTCATCTCGGTTGCAGAAGCATCTGAGGTTGCACAGCCCTGGTTTTTAATAACTCTTCCACTCTCCTGCCATGTCTCTTGAAAATTCCTCCTGAGTCCATTAGGTGAATCAGAAATATCTAAAATGTGGCCAGCGATGACATCTTCATAGGTTGGTGGGGCATGTTTAAAGTCAAAGCCAGCTTTGCCGGCTTCTGAGCTATGAGATGAAGACACTTGACTCTCAAATGCATCCACACCTGTGAAATGTTCACTTAGAGTTCTTGCTTCAGAGTGCACCCCAGGCTGTTTAGCAGTAAATCTTTCTTTCAGCTCTATAGGATGAGTGTGAGCAAAGTCTGCGAAACTAGTGTTTTCTAAAGATGTTAACCCAAATTCCTCCTTACAAAATGTACGGCTTTCTTGTTTTATATTATGGTTTGCTTCTCCGTTTGCATTAACTCTTCTGTTTGACTTGGCTTCAAAAAGTGGGCTGTTCTCAAATTCCCTGAACCATCTGTTTATTTCGTTTTCATGGTCATTCATGAACTTTTCAGCCATTTGAAGAGTTCGGTTTGCTGCTTCGTAGCTCTCCATGTGCTCTGACAGGTGAGGCCCTTCCACTTTGCGGATGATTTCGACTGCATCATAACTTTCAGCATCAGGCACCGCATGCGTAGTGGCATTTACTCCATCTTTATGAACATATGTAGCCCTTTTCTCCACTTTCCTCACCTCCTCTTGAGCTTCCATGGATTCTCTGAGGGAACTGCCCACTTGATTTACACTTATGGGTATCGTGATTGTAGGTGGAGAGTCCCTACCTTGAGTTTCTATCTTAATTTGACGACGAAGCGTTGCAGGAGACACGATGATCTCAGACCTCTTCTCCACAATCGGAACTGGGCTTGCTGACGAACGTGGGACGGTCCCTCTGGATAACCTTGCAGTGGTGTCTCTGAGTTTGACAAGTTTTTCAGAGCGACTCATAGGTGGAGAAGGGGCGGTATTTGCTCTGTGGATTCTAGACGGTTGTGAGGTGGCCCTTTTTGGCGATGGTTCAGCAAAATTGTCCTTTTTTGGGGACTGAGAAAGCCCATTTTTAGTTGAGGTTTCCGTCCGACGGGCGGTAGACTCAATTGTTATAAAAGTTGGTGACGCGGGGCGTGTTTTCAAAGAGGGAGGAGAAATTCTGAGATCTCGTTTAGTTTCCTGGTGGGTTTGCTCAAGATTATGAGCAGTTGCTTCATGATGAGCTGCGACTTGATGGTGTTTTGTTTTTTCTACAGTTTTATTTTCTTTCTGTTCAGTGCCTTTATTATAGCTGACATTAACACTAGACACTTTAGATGTTTCATTAAGATGATTAGGTTTATTTCTCTGCTTTCCTGTTTTGAAGGATATCATGGCTGTTTGAATTATATTTTCACAGGACATGAGCATTTCTTCCGCTTGAACTTTAATTTGCCTTATTTCTTCTTTAATTTTTTCGACATTATTTTCTATAGCAATGCATACTCCATATTCTCTCTTTTCTTCACTTAACAGCCACCCTGGAATAGTATTTAACAGTGTCTGAAATGTCTTAAGGTCATTTTTATTTGGCTCTGCTTCAAATTCTTTCACCCTAGACAAAATCTGTTGTAGTTCTTCACGTTTTCTCAAAAATTCCAATATGTTTACAGCACATTTTCCATCACCCTGCTGTGATTCTTTCACAGAGGAAAATAAAGATTTGTTCTGTGTAATATCTTGCTTTGAATCTTTCGTATTAGAAGAGACTTGTTTCTGTTGCACATCCTTGTCTCTAAGACATTTTTCTTCCTGCAGATTATTATAGGGCTGGGTCAATTTTTTATGTTCAACTTGACTTTGAGAAGTCTGTATTTGTGTTTGCTGAAAATTCTGAGTCTGTAAGTCAAGATGTATATCAGTGACCTTTTGCTTGACTACTTTCTGTGCTGATTTGTTTGACTGTTCTTTTTTGCTTTCAACCACTAGTCTCTCTTCTTTTGGGCCAGTCATTGGTGGCCCCTGAGTTGCTTGTTCACCTCCTAGAATGTTCCCACTTTCATATTCTCTAAATTCTCTTTGCTTCTCATGAATTATACTGAATTTACTTTCATGACTCTTCCCGGCAGGTTCTGTGGGCAATGCTACTGTCACTCTTTTCTCTTTGTTAGGTAACTGATAATATTGTTCAGCCATGGGTTGCTTATTATGATCTTTAGGGTTTGCCTCAGTTTTCTCTGTTTCTTGGTGTTGCTGGGTGATGGTTTGAACAGCATCTTCAGATTGCTTTTTATGGCTTTCATAGCTATGGTCTGTTTCATTCAATTTATGATCTAGACTTGGAAGTCTAACAGTCTTAACTTTGAAACTTGGGGCCACTGGTTTGCTTTGGAGGGAGTGCAGCTGCCCCACATACGTCTGCTGTGTATTACATCCTTGGTGACTCTGTTTAATTTCACAAGCTGATTTAGATTGTATAATGTCCCTTGAGCTCTGTAAAACTTCCTTTTTTATGGTACCTTTGTCTTCAGAGGCTGCTGGAATGGGCTGGAGCACATTGGCTACAACTGTCACTGCTGGTGCCATGGAGAGCTGGTTATCAGTACACACTCCTGGTACCTGAGAATTCCCTTGAATGTCTGTGTTGGGTTGGAGTACAGTGACCTCTGAATCCGTTCCAA